CTATGGGGTGGCCTGATTGTGAAAACAGTTTTACATCTCTTAAATTAAATGCCTCTGATTTCTAGTTTTCAAGATATACTCACATACTAACCTGTGTATATTCCGATTGCATACACACAAGAAAATGTGAGTAAACCCTATGAGAGGTATAGCAGTGTTAGGATACCGTGGGGATAACAGATTTCCCTTGCTGGTAGGGTAGAGATTGTGTTTGTGAAAACGAGCCAGGCCCAAGGCAGTGGCTCATGCCTTGTGATTAGCCTTCAGAGGCCAAGTGGGCAGGATGACGAGCCTCGGAGGTTCGAGACCAGCATGGTGAACCACTGGTCTGGTCAACAATTACATACATTGCCCGGCATGGTGGCACGTGCCTGTATTCCAGCTACTGAAGAGGGTAAGGCGAACGAGGTTGCTTTGAACCCGGGAACTGGAGGTTTACGTGAGTAAGATCGCACCACGGGCCACCTCGCAGTCTGGGTGACAGGGCAGACCTCCATCTCAAAAAAAAAAAAAGAAAAAGAAGGAGAGGCCAGGTGCGGGTTGCATTACACCTGTGCATCCTAGCACTTTGGGGAGGCAAGGCGGGGCAGGACCACGAGGTCAGGAGTTCGAGGACCAAGGCCTGGGGCCTAAGATGGTGAAAACCCATCTTACTAACAAAATTACAAAAAATTAGCTTGGGCGTCATGGGGTGGCGGGTGCGTGTATCCAGTACTCCGAGGCTGAGGACAGGAGAATGGCCATGAACCCAGGGCAGGCAAGCTTGGTTGAGCCCGGAGATGGACCACTTGCACTCCCCAGCCTGGGCACAGAAGAGAGACTCTGTCTTCAAAAAAAAAAGAGAAAGAACAAGAAGAAAAGAAAAGAAAAGAAAGGGAAACACAGCAAGGATGGAGATTGTTGCCTATCTATGTTCCTTGGTCCATTAGGTGAAGAAAAACATAACTGTGCTACTTTTATTACTTTTTTGCTATGAAATATTTGCCATATGAAAATTTGAGGGTAAATGTTGTTTCTTATACAACAAAAATGGTGTTTCTTTTCCTGGTTCCTGTATTATTTGAAATCATATCCCTGGGCTTTTAAACACAGTGTCTGGAATAAATGAGACATGAAAAGTGAAGATGACAGACTAGCAAATGCCATGCCCTCATATTCTCATGGAAACACCAACTCAACCAAATGTTTCATTAAAAAAATCTTTGTAGGCCAGGTATGGTGGCTCATGCCTGTAATTCCAGTACTTTTGGAGGCCGAGGTGGGTGAATCACCTGAGGTCAGGAGTTCGAGACTAGCCTGGCTAATATGGTGAATCCCTGTCTCTACTAAAAATACAAAAATTAGCTGGGTGTGGTGGTGCATGCCTGTAATCCCAGCTACTTAGGAGACTGAGGAAGAAGAATCGCTTGAACCCAGGAGGCGGAGGTTGCAGTGA